CCCCCCCTGCCTCCTCGGCCCTCCCCCTGCCGGGATCGAGGCAGCATACGTTCCTCGGAGTGCCTCGGTACATTGTTACGTGCTCTAGGCCATCTGGGAGAGAAGGGGCCGCCTGCATCTACCCGGCACCCGGTGCGGCTGCCATGGCCGCGTCTTCGGACCCGAGTGCCTCGATGGGGAAGAGCTCGATTACCCGCATGTCCGAGGGGCTGATCGATCCGGATAGACGTTCAAACTCGTGGTAGATCGAGGCCAGCGACCAGTTGGCCTTCTTGCGCAGACAGCCAATCACGCAGCCAACCCGCTGCCGGCCCTTGTTGCAATGGATGAGTACCGGGCGGTTGACGGGGTCTGGATGTGTCGGCGCACGTGCGCCAGTGGAAGGGGCGTGCGTGCGTGCGTGCGTGTACAAGATAGGCGGGCATGTGTCAGCATGATCTCCTTCGCGGTGCGAGTGCCCACACAAATGCATGTTCCCCCTGCCCCAGGTGTCTCAGCATGGAAGCGTGGCCGGATACGAACCAGCCAACTCGCTGAGGGCCGCGGTGATGTCGTCATTCTTGATCATGGAGAAGGGTTCCTGTTGCACGGCGAGCGGCAGGTTAGTCGGGCAGGCGCCGGTCGCCGGGGGGGGGGGGGGGGCTTGTGTGTCTTCGGTGCGCGCGCGCGCGCGCGCATGCATGCATTTGTGTTTGCGGCGTTCTCGCTCGGCCCGCCCCCCTCGCGGCATGCGGCCAAGCACAATTGCGCGTCTGGACATATGTATACACATGTATCCATGCGTGTGTGTATGTATGTATGTGTGTGTGTGTGTGTGTGGGGGTAGGGTATGATCAGCACGGGTGAGGGGGCGAGGGGGCGGGAAGGGGCAGGTGACGCCGAGCGGCAGCGCACCCTGGCCAGCATGGCTCTCGGCGCCAGGGACACTGCCGAAGCCGCCGTCAAAGTTCTTGCACCGGACAACGAAGTCCACAGCGGCCGGCACATCGCAACTGTCCTGTTTCCCCAAAAGAGTGAGACAGGCCAAGGCGCAGAAGCTGAAGCGCGAGTCGACCTCACCGAAGCGATCTCCCTGGAAGGCACCACCCGGCAGCTGCAGCGAGCACACATCTAGTCGGTTATGGGTCGTCGGGGTCGGGGGGAGCACGGGAAAGGCACCGGAGGCGGGGCCAAGTCAGGGGGACTGGGGGAACGGGCGGCCGACAGACATGGGCCATCATGCGAAAGGGGGGGGAGCGGGGGAGCGGGGGAGCGGGGGAGCGGGGGAACGGGGGAACGGGGGAGGGGGGCAGATCTCGCACACTCAACCACGCGATCGGTATCCACCCGATCCAGAGCATCGTAAGTTGCCAGAATCTGGATGGCACTCAAGGTATACAGCAGGTGCGCATCGTGGCCGATGTTGCCGGCGAAACCTCCTTCGGGTGGGGCGAGGAAAGTGTCACACATGCATGCATGTATGTGTATGCATATGTGAGGAGAGAGTGTTGACCAGGGAGAGAGAGAGAGAGAGAGCGGGCCGGTGGCAGGGGGTTGTGGTCAGGGGGCGCACCGGTCTTCGAGTCCCAGCAGTCGACAACAAACTGAATGACATCCTCGCGAACCAAGGTGTCCGGGGCACCCAGCAGGAAGAGCGCCGTCAGGCCCCAGTAGATCCCGTTCAGAACAGCCTGCTCAGTGAGCCAGTACTCATAGTCATTCTTTTTCTTGTGTCACCGAAGGATGTGAGAAGGGAAGAGGAGTCAGCCGGGGCCGCGCGCCAGGCGAGCAGGCAGGAGGGAGGGGGGGGGGGGGGGGCGGAGAAGCGGGGCGAAGGGCTGCCAGGAGGAACCTTGTCGAGTGCGGCGATGAAATCGACGTGTGCCTTGACGTTCAGAGGCGGAGCGCTCATTGGGGAGGAGTGGGGGGAGGGGAGGGCGGGGCGGGGCTCGGGCAGGAGGGCAGAGGGTGCGGGGGGCAAGAGGGGTGGAGATTGAGGCAGGGGCGGGAGCAAGGGCCGGGGGGCGGGGGGAGAAGGGCCAAGGGGCTAGACGTTAAAGTGTGCGATCTGCGCCGACGCGCAGCCGGACCACGCCAGCACGTCTTTAAAGCAGCT